AGGACTAAGCTGTTAATGAGTGCAAACAACAAGTCAGAATCCAATTTTTAGTTGGACAGGGCTAATCTACAACAAAGGTTCACTTTTCACAATGAAACTTTCAGTGGTTACAAATGTTTAAAGCAGATTAGAATGTATTAATTGTCAGTAGAAGAATCCATGATTATTGTTGTATTGGACACACATTGCGTTCCTCACTTTTCAAAATTAGTCCTTTGTTTTTCAAGAGTCACTTTTTTCACATATTCCACAGTCATAATCTATTCCAATTTCAGCAATCCAGATAATAGATGACCATCACTTGAAAAAAGAGAACAGAAAATGCTGTTGTTCATATTTGCACCATGTTGTAAATAATTAATGTTAAATTAAAGCATATTATTCACCATGGCATTTTCTAACAACAAATCAGCCAAACTGATCCATTTTGTAGGGTTTTTTTCACAGCTGAAGAACAATTTTGTCTCCAAAAGAAAACGATTGACATGAATAAAAAGAAAATATCGGCTTTTAACTGACTACTGCTTCATCTCAGGAATGCAGGTCCCAAATCAGTGACTTCAAACAATGTTGAGATGAAACTGGGTTGAATACGACTTACATTAAGTTTGATCTATTTATGTGATATTCATCAGAAATGCTGTTTTACATTGTAACTTTTACAGGTTTTACTGGAAATTTGTTTGTAAAAGGATTTGAGAAGAAACTTTAGACAGAGATTTGGCTGAGATTTTGAAATGAACCCCCGACCTCAATGATTTCTAATATTAATGTTAATCTTGTTATGACTTTTATTTGGAAAGTTGTTCTCTAATGTTGCCTTCGTGAAGAACAAGGTTCTGAAATCTCATCTCTGAAAAGCTGCATATTACTTGAGAAATGATTGTAATACAGTAAATGTTACACTCGCAGTAATGCAGGTTATTTTCAAGTTTATTGGGTTTTTGTGTTTTTTGACTTTTCTTTGGAAAGTACCATTGATGAATCCACTAATCAAGCTGCTTTGTCCTCCGTTATTAGTTCTAATATAATTTTTATCACCCCTTATTTGAAAGCATTGACTCAAACAAGATGCAATTCATGACTCTCACTGTGGCCATTCTATACGTATAAACATAGGCTAAAAGAGAAATCCTGGATCTGCCTAGCAGGATCATATCAGCTGTCCCTTCTGTACCCCATTGGATTTCACTCTCCAAGTCAAGCAAAGTAGATTCAAATCACCCATTGAATATGGTGGCCCACAATTGTGGAGAGTACCACCATTCATTCTAATTCTGGCTTCACCTGATATGCACTCACTCTTTTCTAGTGTTGGGCTGTGGATAGAAATCAGGATTGGGATCCAAATTAATTTATTTCTCCTGCCAGTTCAGGATTGTTAATACCATGCTGCACAATTTCAATCCATTAAAGCTGTAGAGTCATTGAGACGTACAGCATGGAAGTAGACCCCTTAGTCCAACTGGACCGTACCGACCAGATATCCTAAATTAATCTAGTCCCATTTGCCAACATTTGGCGCATATCTCTCTACACCCTTCCTATTCATGTACCCATCCAGGATGCCTTTTAAACTTTGTAATTGTACCAGCGCCCCCCACCACTTCCTCTGGCAGCTCATTCCATATACGGGCCACCCTCTGCATGAAAAATTTCCCCTCTCACCTCAAACCTATGCCCTCTAGTCTTGGACTCCCCTACCCTGGGGAAAAGATCTTGACTATTCACCTTATCCATGCCCCTCATGATTTTATAAATCTCCATAAGGTTACCCCTCAGCCAAGGAAAATAGCCCCAGCTTATTCGGCCTCTCCCTATAGCTCAAATGCTCCAATCCCAGCAATATCTTTGTAGAGAACTATGAAGAAAATGGCATGTGTAAATTAAATCTGTGGAAAAATTACCACAAGATAACTTCAACAAAATACTCTTGGCCATTTTTGGGGAAGTTATTTCAGAATCTTGGCTCATGTCCAGTCAGTGGTGTAGCTGGTGTTGTTGTATTCAGATTGTAACAGAGAGAAAGTAGTAAGTTGGCATGCTCTATTATATGTTGCAATGTGGAAACCTTGTGCTGTGCTGTTTTGTTTTGTTTTGTTTTGTTTTCTTGTTTGTTCCTACACTGTGTTGTGTTCCCAGGGTTTGCCGGGGTCCCCCACAGTGGCGGCTCTGCACAGTAATCAGATCCTCACTGTCAAGGTTTGTGGATAATGTGTACGTGCTCAGTCAGACATCAACCAGCATACTGCTGTAATTGCTTAAATTGGATAAGACTTATTGTCCTATGAAGTCAGCTATTAAAAATGAGGCTTTTTTTTCCCCAGTCATTCAAACCAAAGGGCAGCTATCCCTGTCTTATACTGATCTTTTGTTTTCTTTATTCATTCACTGGATGAGGGTGTCGCTGCTAGGCAACATTTATTGCCCATCCCTAAGGACAGTTAAGAGTCAACCACATTGCTGTGGGTCTGGAGTCACATGTAGGCCAGACCAGATAAGGATGGCAGATTTCTTTCCCTAAAGGACATTGGTGAACCAGGTGGGTTTTTCTGACAATCGACAATGGATTCATGGTCATCATTAGATTCTTAATTCCAGATATTTTATTGAATTCAAATTTCACCATCTGCCATGGTGGGATTTGAACCTGGGTCCCCAGAACATTATCTGGGTCACTGGATTAACAGTCCAGTGATAATACCATGAGGCCACTAGGCCATCACTTCCCTGATATATTGAGATGATGTTGAAGTCTAAAGAAATAAACATTCCCAGCATGGTGAATTTGTTCAGGAAGTTTAAGATACTGCTTTAACTCACCCAATGTCTAAAAGCAGCAGAAAGAAGGGTGAAAGAGGAGAAGTCACCTCCATCAAACACCTTTATTACTTTGAGAAACCAAGTTAACATCGTCAGTCGAACGTGACTCTTCTTAAAGAAGCATCATATTCAGCTCAAAACATTAACTGTATTTCTCGCTATTTCCAGCACTTTCTGTTTTATATTTCCACAATATGTTGCCTTTTTTATAACTCTAAGTGCTGTGGCTAATTTCTTTCCCAAAGATGGCTGACAGCCTCCATAGGTCAACTAGAAGCGAAACCATCTCGTTCTGCAGGTTAAGAGCAGCATGGATGCTCTAAAGAGAGAGGAATACATGATATTATTGGGAGGTGAAAGGATGAAGAGGGAACACAGATAAAGGGCTGGATCTGAGTGACATGGGCTATGGTGTGATGTGTGGAAGAATCAGGCAATAAGTGACGAGTGCAGCCCCTGACGTTGAGATGAGCTCACACCATCTTTTACATGAAATCCTCTCTAGGCAGTGGTGAGAAGCCAGCTGACAATCATTAATATTCATGTTGAGAAAAATCTTAGTGCAACTCTGTCTTCCAAAAACATGTAAGATTCAGCTCAAAGAGAAACAAAGTCTTGAACACTGACTGATTTCAGATTAATCCTAATTCAGTCAGGTAAACAAACAGGGACATCTCATCACATAAATTGGTTTGAATGTATTTAATGGATCAAGAGTGAAAGTATTCAAATTCAATGATTTTAGTTTAGGGGGTTTAATAAGAAATTATTAATTCAAATAAGATTTAATTGATGCAGATTAAGCAAGAATATCTAACTATTCTGTTTCCAATTCTTGAAGCATTTATGGTCTTGTTAAGATGACTCTTGATCTGGTTCTGAACAAAGCTTTCTGTCAAGATGAAACTAAAACAAATGTTATCATCCAATTGGCTGGCTGTTTGAGGCCAATACATGTTTGATAGTAGGATCAATTCAAATGCTGTAAGATGTGTATTTGTCTTTTTGTTTGATCAAGTACAGAATTAGTATGCTGGACTAATGTCTGACCGAATGCATCACTGTAAATCCTAATAGTTTGCTTGTGGAATCCATGCTGATCAGCCAGTTAATAGACACAGTGAACTGTGCAATTTTGCATTGAGACCTCAAAGATGATACTCCAGCAGCAAAATGAACCATGTACAAGAGAGATTAGATTGGAACTTCCTTACAATGTGAGCTAACATGATAAGGAGATAAACAGTCACTATTTTTGACATCATTGCACTTAAGAACCACAATTTTTTTTGGTGATCAATATTTTCTTTCACTTTCTGCCTTATTGATTAATTTACTGAATGGGTCTATAGATTAGGTTTTCTGACTGATATTAAATGTAATAAATTGATGCCAACATTGTCGCAGAAATCTGCCTAAGGGCAAGTTCTCTGCCTATTCCATCATACCTCATAGTCCTGTGCTTTCCTCTTCCATAGCTTATAAGAGCCCCAATTTTAAGTTTTCCTGATCAATATGACAAGTTAAAGAATACAATAAGTACTTGCCTCATATTGGAATGAGACATAAATCCTCTTCTAAAAGGACTCACCACCTCTAATCAGCCATTGTCCCTCGAGGCTCCAGTTCTTCTGACATTATCACCAAAAACCCATTGGTTGTGGCTTGTAACCATGAGCATGGAAACATTAACTCATGCTGGAGTTACTCACTAAAGGGTAGGTATGGCAAAGGTCTCAAATGACCCTGCTGCACTGTTATTAAAGCCTAAGGGAAAATTTAGCTAATCATATATTGCCATTAATTCCCAAATTTCCAGTGTTAATACTTGGAAACAATTGCACTGGATTAACAGATAGCTAGATCTGGAGAATAACAGTTGATTGAATTCATAACTAACAAATGAACATTTAGACAGTTTGATGACAGGCAGATGGATTGAGCTCTACATTATTCATACCACCAGTTTCTGTTTCCCTTGATTCATATTGTGTCCATATATTGGTATTGATTTGGCATGGACTTCATAGGCAAAAGCCTGAACTGTATGTAGTAGACAGAAATGTTTACTTGCTGCTCTTAACTGTTTCTCCTCCTTCTTTTGAAACCTTCCCTTGCCACTCCTTCACCTTTCTGACCTCTGACCTCCAAAACTTTGACTTTCCCTGCCTGATCAGATGGCGTTTCCTTACCCAAGAGTCAATCATGGGTTCCTGTCGGCTGATCAGCAGTTTATTAAGCGACGTCTCATGAAGGTAGTGCTAGTACTTGTAGAATTCTTCTTTGCATTCTTTACTGTAAATATTATTCTTACTTCTCCTTGGTTTTCTTTACTTGCATTATAATTCGAAGTAATTGCCTATTTGCTGCTGTCTTCATTTTCTCAGCATCATCTCTCAGTGGAATTTTAATTAATTGTAATTATTTATCATTGATCATCAAATTTTAAAAGATCCTCCTGAGAGACTTTATCATTGCAAATAACAGTAACCAACACTGCATATCATTTTTATTCAAACTTTTTCACAATTTGCAGGGTGATCAAGGTCAAGCTGGGCCACCTGGCCCACCGGGACCTCCTGGTCCTCCAGGCCCACGTGGTCCTCCAGGTGACACAGGAAAGGATGGTCCTCGGGGAATGCCAGGAGCACCTGTAAGAATTCATCAGATTAGTTTCTATTCCTTTCTTTATATTATGGCTTTCTCTTAATGCTTTAAAGGCAACACACCATGGAGCATCATGACATGTGTCAGTGCAGCTAATGGGAGGTAACGATTAGATATTTATCAAATGAAGATAGGGAGATTCAGACAGTTTCTATGAAGAAACCTAGGAACAGCAAACATATAAACATTGAAAATAGGAGTAGGCCATTCAGCCTATCGAGCATCCTCCACCATTCAATATGATCGTGGCTGATCATTTAACTCTGTCCCCTGTTCCCACTTTCTCCTGTAACCTTTGATCCCTTTAACCATAAGAACTATATCTAACACCTTCCAGAAAATTGTGTTCTGTGGCAAAGAATTCCACCAACTCATCAATCTCTGGGTGAATTTTTTTTTTCTCACCTCAGTCCCAAATGGCCTAACTCATATCTTTAGACTGTCACCCTTGGTTCTGGACTCTCTGTTCAACAGGAACATCCTTCCTGCATTTACCTTGTTTAGTCCTGTTGTAGGCATTTTATAGGTTTCTATGAGACTCCATACCCCAATCCTTCTAAACTCGAGTGAATGTAGTCCGAACCAATCCAGTCTTTCTTCATACATCAGTCCTGCCATTGCCATTGTCTAGTAAACCTTTGTTGCATTAATTCAGTAGCCAGAACATCCTTCCTCAGATAAGGAGACCAAAACCACATACAATACTCCAGGTATGGTCTCACCAAGGCCTTGTATAATTGTAGCAAAACACCTTTGCTCCTGATCTGAAATCCTCTCACCATGAAACCCAAAGCACCATTTGTCTTCTTCACTGCCTGCTGCACATGCTTGGTTACTTTCAGATCTTTCAACACTCTTCCATGACTCAGTGGAATTTAATGAAGGATATACAGAACATGCATCTTATCCTAAAATAATTCATTTTAATGTCATTGAATGACTAACTTTGCAAGAGAAATACTTATTAAATGTAAATTTTAATGAAGTTTTCTAAACAAGTTCATGTTTTGATTTTAGGGGGAAATTGGACCAAGAGGTGAAACTGGATTCATGGTGAGTGAAATACTTATCTTGTGTTATACTGATGCAATGCCAAGGCGTTTCAATTCATGGGAAAAGGTGTAACGGAAATTATCCCTATTTATAATGATGCGTCCAGTGGCACTTTGTATGTTTATGTTTTGGATTAAGGATCATTCCCCTGACACAAGTTGGAGATTAAATATGTGGGCTAAATTGTACGAGAAATAAACTCTACTTGTTATGCTGCCACTGCATGCATGAAGGCATGAATAATTCTTGTTTCATGGAAGATCTTGAAGTCCCGGTTATCCATCTGACTCAAATTACCCTTGATTATCTTGTAGAATTATTGCAAGTTTTCTAACGTTGACATCATGTTTTCCTGATATTTAATCACAATTTTGATCCATGAACATTTTCCACTCCTCGAAACATGATCATTCTGTCACACCTAATGTTTGTATTGATAGAAAATGTCATTTTTCCTGGATTTATTAACCTTTGCTTTTAGGACTAAATAACATTCTTCTCTGACTCCTCTCAACCATTAAGCATCAATTGACCCTCAATGTTTGAATTTGGAAAAGAAATGCAGATTAAGATATGCAGGATTTCATAAGTGACTATTTTCAAGATCCTGGAAGAGCTGGCTACCAAAATCCACTTGTTTGTCAATTGGCCAATACACTCAATTTACTACTAACAAATTTTAATAATATCTTATTTTGTTACTTCATCTTAATGAGTAAAATAGGGAGTTACAGCATTTATATGTTAGTAAAATACGTGCCATTTTAATGACAGTTTAAGCCAGTTTATTTTATTAGTTTGTTAAATTGATCAAGAGAAATACTTTTTATTGGCTGAAATGTAAACAATTGTGAAGTTTTTAACACTAATAAAGCCCTAATTAGCAAATTTACACAGCAATATTTGGTATTTTATTGATTAGCATGTGTTGGAAAGTCATATTATCTTTTCAACATCTTCAGTTTTACTGGGGAAGAATTTATATTAAGATCATAACAGGGACATGGAGCTGGGCATTTCAAATATCAAATAATCATTAAAATTTGCGATAGAAATAATTTGCCAAATTTAACCAAAAAGAGAAAAAACAGGTTTGTGAATAGTCAGCCCTGATTATTTATTTCATCTTAACTTGAATAAAACTTAGTTTATGTATTCAAAAGTGCATTTGCATTTAGATGTACAATTATTCCTGGATCCGCATTATTTTCATTTATCCCATTATCCTATGTTATGGGATACTTACTATCACAGGTCTTGCTTTGCCGAATTATTTCTGACTCCAAATCTAGGGATCATTATCATCAGGGACAGTAGGTTTGATACTGCATCTGCAGTATAGGTCCTTCCAGTGCATTGTGAAAAAAATTTATGGGTATCTTACCTGGTCTACAATGTCAACGAAATCTCTCAAAAACTCAAAGGCAGGAAGCAAACTTTCTGAATGATGCCATTTTTCTATTCCCATCTCCAAAGAAGGACCATTTTATTCAATCCTATGTTTTAAGAGGAACCACTGCTCAACGGTGGTACGATGGCTCAGTGGTTAGAACTGCTGCTTCACAGCACCAGCAACCTGGGTTCAGTTCCACCTTTGGGTGACTGTCTGTGTGGAGTTTGCACGTTCTCCCTGTGTCTGCCTGGGTTTCCTCCAGGTCCAGGTTAGGTGAATTGGCCATGCTAAATTGCCTATAGTGTTCAGGGATGTGTAGATTAGGCATGTTACGGGGGATGCATCGGGGTAGGATGCTCTGAGGTTCGGTGTGGACTTGTTGGGCCGAAGTGCCTATTTCCACACTGTAGGGATTCTATGATGATAGACTCCATTCAGCAGTTCAGTATGGATCTGAATTTCCCCCACAGCAATCTGAATTACATGATTGATCAAAACACCATTAAAGGTCTTGTCACTTTTTTTTGTAATGTCAGTCTCTATCTAAGTTTTACTCCATCATACATTTCTGAAGTATTGAAAATGTTTCACCTTGTGTTTTACTAATTCTACTGAATATTAATCCCACTATCTGGGAAAATCCAGTGTGAACAAGACTTCCCTTCAGAACTAACAAAAACAGAAAGAACTGCGGATGCTGTAAATCAGAAACAAAAACAAAGTTGCTGGAAAAGCTCAGCAGGTCTGGCAGCATCTGTGAAGGGAAAAACAGAATTAACGTTTCGGGTCCAGTGACCCTTCTTCACAACTGACAGTGGCTGGGAAAACGTCAGTTTATATGCAGAAAATAGGGAGGTGGGTGGGGTAGGGAGTAAACGATAAGATAGACCCTAAAGAGAGAGAAAGACAGTTGGACAGACAAAGGAGTTGCTAACAATCAGGCTGGGAGGGTGAATAGTTGATAATGGGGACTGTTAGTGACTAACAACAGGGGGTGTGTAATGGCAGGCTATGTGGTAACAAGGCCTGGTGTGTGGGGTAGGGGGCTGGGACATGGGAGCATTTAGGTCCTAAAATTATTGAACTCAAAAAAATTGAGTCTGGAGGGTTGTAGGGTCCCCAAGTGGAAAATGAGGTATTGTTCCTCCAGCTTGCGTTGGGCTTTGCTGGAACATTGTAGCAAGCCAGAGACAGAGATGTTGGCCAGGGAGCAGGGTGGTGCGTTAAAGTGGCAGGCAACAGGAAGTTCAGGGTCTTTTTTGAGGGCAGGACGTAGACTAGATTCTGGGAAGTGCATGTGAAGTGTTGCTTCACCTGGACTATAAGTTTGGGCCCTTGGAAACTGGGGAGGGAGGAGGTAAATGGGCAGGTGTTGCACCTTCGCCTGTTACAGGTGAAGGTGCCATAAGGCTGTGGTGAGGCGTTGGGGGTGAAGGAAGTGTGGACCAGGGTGTCCCGGAGGGAACAGTCCCTGTGGAACGCGGACAAGGGAGGGGAGAGGAATATGTGTCTGGTGGTGGCATCTCACTGGAGGTGGCATCTCGCTGGGGGTGGTATCTCACTGGAGGTGGCAGAAATGGCGCCCTGATGATCTTCTGGATGTGGATGGTGGTAGATGAGGATAAGGGGAACCCTATTGCTGTTGCGGGAGGGAAGAGAAGGGGTGAGTGTGGGAGATGGGTCAGACCTGGTTGAGTACCCTGTCGACAACGGAGGTGGGGAATCCTCGGTTGAGGAAGAAGGTGGACCTTTCAGAGGCTTCCTTATCAAAGTTGGCCTCATCTGAACATATGCAACGGAGATGGAGCAACTGAGAGAATGGGATGGAATCTTTACAGGAAGCAGGGTGTGAGGATGTATACACCAGGTAGCTGTGGGAGTCAGTGGGTTTGTAATGGTGAGTTTATCCCCAGAAATGGAAACAGAAATGTCGAGGAAGGGAAGGGAGGAGTCAGAGATAGACCAGATGAACGTGATGGCAGGGTGGAAATTGGAGGTGAAATTGATGAAGTTTTCCAATTCCCTTCAGAGCTGATGGTGTGGTCCTCTGATGTGCGCCAGCCATCAATTGAAAATGTGGCTGGTTCCATCAGTTATTCCCCTACCACTAATTGCAACACTTTTCTCTTTCTAACAACATCGTTTCTAATTTGTCACAAATCACTTCATCACCCATTAAAGGTTGACTTTAGCTTGAGAGTTTTTGAAGGAACTAACTTGGGGGGAAAAACGTTGCCAAATACATCATGAGTTTGCCTTGGAACGTGTCTACTTCGGTAACATTAATATTGCATTATAGCTCTTATTTTAGCCAGAAACAGATGTCCACTTACAGGAGCACCTGCATCACCTTTCAAAGGAATTACATTGTGCAGAGCCATATTTTAGTTCTGTTCATCCCACTTACCAAACTGAGTTTTAAAAATGTAATTAAGGGGACATAGTCGTTACCTTTAGGAACTGAAGAAGGATCATTTTAGATTATCTGTAGAATTATGGGACTGCATAATTCAGCTCCCAACCCTCAATAATAATCTTTACTCAGAATTAAGCTGCTTGTGCTGTCTCATTCCAACCTTTTTGTTCTAATGCAAATGTGAAATTTTGCTATATGTGCAGCAGGTGTATGGTGATTATTAGACTACGGGGTTCTATTTTGAGGAGGCTCATGAATTATTTCTGTTCAAGAAAGCAAAACTCATTCAGGATCAGGCAAAAATGATAATGGAATAGTTTAGGTTAGATGGGCTTCAGATTGGTTTCACAGGTCGGCGCAACATCGAGGGCCGAAGGGCCTGTACTGCGCTGTAATGTTCTATGTTCTATGTTCTATGTTCTATAAAATGGTTATTCTATCAAACCTGAGAGAAAAAGAACTGAATTCAGTTGGTGGCATTTTTGTATAACATCAGAAATCTTCTTAGCTGGATTTTGGGTAAATAAGAACCTCTGTATTTAGTTTATACTCTCATGTCATTACTAAACCTATCATATGGTACTGTTTAACCAAATGTCTTCCATGCTTACTTCATTAACAAGAAAAATATGCCAAAGATTCATTCAACACTTTGGCAAACATACAAATGCAGTGTCGCAAGCTGCCACTTTGATCCAACTGGAATGGATTAGATATCTTTGGAGAACCGAGCATGTCACTCCTTGGGATTCCATTATAACTAAAATCACATTTCAGTAGCTATCTTTCTTACTTTACTTTTTAAGTAGCTATTCTCTTGCAGCATTTGTGTCACTATCATCTTAAATTTTCTGTGACCTTCACAAATTAGACTGTATAAGAAGTTCTGTTGCAACATTTACTGGATTAGATTTTGAAAATTCATCATAAATGCTGAGTTATCAGCATGATAATAATGCCTTAATGTGCTTTTGTTTTTCTAGGGACCCCAGGGACCACCAGGACAAAAGGTACTGTATACCAATACCTACAAAGCACTCAAATTATTTATTGACAACATTTGACCCAGATTCAAAGGAAATAGGCTACTGTAGTTCAGAAGTTAGTTCATAGTAATGTCTGCATCTCCAGCCTATTTAGTCAAGTCAACATAGTATTTTATGATGTATGTTTAATTTCTCTATGAACGTTAAGTTAAAATATTCAGGCTGGTTGAAGTTTTTACATCAGGACTTTTATGTTAAAAGAAATGCTTTTTTTAAAAAAAAGAAATTTACTGGTCTTTCCATTTCAATGTTGGCAAAACTCTGGAATTTAAATTTGAAACATGTACAGAGGATACAGTTTCTACTTCAACCCACACTAAGCTTAATAGATCACTGCCATATGATTGATACTGAGCAAAACTCTCAATGTGTCGCTGATGAATGGATTTTCGTTTTGCTGTGATCGCTGAGCCGCTATTCTTTTCCTGTTTCTGAGGAAATTTGATGACAGACTTCCTGAACCTTCTGTCAGCACCTTTAACAGTTATCAGAATCAGCTGCCAGATATTTTTTTTGATAAACTCAACACACAATTTATGGGATTTCTTCATTACCACATCGTAAAGAGCATCAGTTGTATATTCTTACCTTCCAACCACCAACCATTGGAAGTTTGTCTCTGAAACCCTTCCACAAGAAAATAGATGATTTGAAAGAAAAAGAATTCATCTCTCTTTTCTGTGTTTTTTTTCCCTTTTTTGGCTGCACAAAATGTTGAAAGACAAGTATAATTTTAAAATAATTTTATAGGGAGTCTTAAGTAAAATGTTGACATGTTTTCTCCCCATCACCAAATCTCCCAAGCCATCAAAACAAAATGGCAAGAAATTTCATAACTTATTGAGGTGTTATTAGCTTTGTTAATATACCAAGATAAAACTAATCATTCAATGCCTCCAAGATTAGGTTTTAAATGACTTGACAGGTGTCTATTATTTTAAAACTTGGAAGAAAATAGAGGTTATATAAAATATAAAATAATTTTATAAAACGTTTATAAAATCATGAGGAGTATAGATAAGGTGAATGGCAGGTGTCTTTTCCCTAGGGTGGGGAATTTCAAGACTAGAGGGCATATTTTTATGATGAGAGGAGAAAAAAATCAAAAAAGACACAAGGGGCAATTTTTTGACACAGAGTGGTTCGTCATTTCCAGAGGAAGTGGTGGATGTGGGTATAGTTACAACGTTTAACAGACATTTGGATAAATACACAAATAAAAAATGTATGGAGGGATATAGGCCAAGCACAGATAGGTGGCACTGACTTAGTTTGGGATTATGATCGGCATGGACTGGTCAGACTGAAGGGTTTATTTCTGATCTGTATGACTCTAAAATGGTCTTGGCGTCAGCACAGAGAATACTGAGAGGATGAAGATGTTTAGGATATTTTTGCATTGTACTTAATTAGCTATGAGGTTGGTTACTTCAGCTGATGTGTTACATGAAGTAAAATCAATGAATGTGAGAAGTAGACCTGAAGATAAATGAGTAAAAGAAAGAGACCATTTAAAAATGATTAACACTCTCAAAAACTCCTTATGTGAAGAATATTGGCAGAGTAGATTGGAAATCATTCAAAAAGCTATTTGGATATAATGGGAAGATTGGATCTGTCAATGAATTGAGATGAACAACAAGTGCTATTATAAATTGAAACATTTATCCATGAAATAATCTACAGCAAGCTTTTAACATTTCAAAACACATTAAATGTAAATGCTAGTTTATTGATAAACGAAACTGATGAGGCTTGGTTTGAGAATGATCAACTCCATGTAACCCCACTGTGATTGAAAACAATCTCAAATATGGGCAGCCATGTTTCCTGGCTTCTCCTGCCCCTCAAAAAGTTGCACGGCAATGGGGTTTTATGCACCTGTACATTTTTCTAGCCTGCTCTGTTCTGGTTAGTATTTCCCTTGAATTTGTGGAGAATTTCAAAACATAAAAATACAGGAAGGGAGGCGGTGGCCTAGTGGTATTGTCTCTGGACTGTCAATCCAGAGATCCAGCTAACATTCTGGGAACTCGGTTTGAATCTCGCTGTGGCAGATGGTGGAATTTGAATTCAATAAAAATCTGGAATTAAGAATCTAATGATGAAACCATGGTCGATTGTCATAAAAACTCATCTGGCTCACTAATGTCCTTTGGGAAGGGAAACTGCCATGCTTACCTGGTCTGGCCTATATATGACTCCAAACCCGCAGCAATGTGGTTGACTGTTAACTGCTCTCTAGACAATTGGGGATGGGCAATAAATGTTAGTCCAGACAGCGATGTCCTCAATTGTGAATGAATTTTTAAAAATAAGAGCGAGTATAGGCCATTTGACCCATCAAGCCTGCTCCTCCAGTCACTAAGATCATGACGCATATGACATGTTTTTAACTCCACTTTCCTGCCTGCCTCCATATCTCTTGATTTGCTTATCAATCAAAATCTGTCTAACTCAGTATTGAAATATTCAATGATCCAGCCTCCACTCCCGTCTGGAGGACAGAATTCTAAATACTAATGATCTGCTGAAAGAAGAATTTTCTCCTCGTATCCATCTTAAATGAGAGACTCCTTATTTTGAAACTGTGACCCACAGGGGATCTAGAACAAGGGGAAACATCCATTTTCTGAAGAAGGGTCCAGACCGAAACGTCAGCTTTCCTGCTTCTCTGATGCTGCTTGGCCTGCTGTGTTCAGCCAGCTCGACACCTTGTTATCTCATATCCTCTTACATTTTCTCTGTCAAGCCCCTTTTGAATCTTAAATGTTTCAATCAGATCACCTCTCAGACCTCTAAACTTCAATAAGAATAGACCCAACATGCTCAATCTTTTCTCATCCCAGTTTGTTGAATTATCTTTGAACCAGCACCAGTGCAAATGTGTCTATTCTTAAGTAATATGACCAAAACCACACACAATACTGTTGCATATAATCTTAACTTTGCCCTGTCTGATCGTAGCAAGACTTCTTTATTTTTGTATTCCATCCTCCATGCAACAAAACCAATATTCTGTTAGTCTTGTTAATCACTTTCTAAACCTTCTTGCTTTCTTTTGTGATTCATGTACAAGGACATTGAGTCACAGTGCAGCATTCTGCAATATCTCTTCATTAAATAATACTCCACTTTTCTATTCTTCCAGCCAAAGTGGACAAATTCACATTTTCCTACATTACACTCAATCTGCCAAATTTTTACCCTAACTATATCACTTTGCAGGCTCCTTGTATCCTCCTCACAAATATCCAACATGTGTATCTTTGTATTGATCGCAAAATCTAGCTGCAATTTAGTGGTCCCTTCATCTAAATCATCAATATAAGTCATAAATAATTGGGTCCCCAGCACTGAACCATGTGGAACTCCACTATTTACAGTTTGCCATCATCAGAATGACCAATTTATTCTCACGCTCTATTTCCTGTTAATTAAAAAGTCCTCTGGCCAAGCTAATATAGCACCCCAACACCATCTTCTCTTAACTTTGGCACTTTATCTTTGGCCTTTGAGAGTCCAGGTGTTCGATATCAACATGTTGCCCTTTATCCACCTTATTGGTTATATCCTCAAATAACATTAATAAATTTGTCAAACATTATTTCCCTTTCACAAAACTGCCTGATAGATTTATGATTTTCTAAATGGCCTGTTTTAATAATGGATTCTGCCGTTTTCCCAGAGACAGGTGTTAGGCTATTTGGACTATATTTTCTTGCTTTCTATCTCCCTCCTTTCTTGAACAGAAGGGTTACATTTGTGTTACATTTCCAAACCACTCGGCCCTTTTACAGAATTTTTGAGAATTTTGGAAGATTACCGTAATTCAAGCAGGGTACTACAAATGTAGCGCTGGTAGGGGACAGGTTAACCATCACAGTTCTCTGCAGCTGAAAGCAATGGTCCAGGCAGCCATGTTACTTCCTAATGTCAGGGTTCAGGACATTTACTCTGGGTTCGAGAGGAATTTGTAATGGGAAGGGAAGGATCCAGCTGTCATGATCTAAGTAGGTACCAGCAACATAGGTCGGACTAGGACAGAGTTTCTGTTTGAAGAGGATGAATAACTAAGGGCTAAATTAAAAGGCAGAATCTGAAATGTATGAATTCCTGGATTTTTCCCAAACCATAAGCATGACTCGTTCTCTCACAGTCACATCCTCATGTCCCTGACCATAGACCATCTTCAAAATACTCAACCTAAGGGATATGTTTACCTCCTGAGGCAAAGAATCTGGATAACGTTCCCCCATCTTGATGCATTCCAATATCCAAACTTCTGCCTCCAGTTCAGAAATTCAAAGGCAAAAGTTCCTCAGGTTGCAGACACTTGCTGTCGACGTAGTTGCCGTGAATCACACAGATGTCCACTTGATCTTGCATCTCTAGGTGCAACACATCACTTGCCCTACCATCTTTATTGTGTTGTCGTTAATTAATTAAGATTATAAATATTACTCAACCGGTACCCATAATTATCTCAAGTGGTTTAACCAGTTAATCCACAAATTAAGGCAATACTTATATCTCCCCAGTATCAGTTTAAACTGCTGCCCCCGTCTAGAGAAAGAAAAATATAAAACTCATCCACTGCATCCATCCTCTCTCGCAATTAATGCGTCGTGTCCCACTGTCAGTTTCTGGCGCTCTCCGTCCCTCTCTCTCAGCCCATTCTTTTTATCTGAACGTCAAAACAGCACCTCCTCCCATAACACACCAAATTCCCTCATTCACCTGATTCCTGAGCTTACATTCAGGCATCACCTGTATTCAGTGACAAGCTGGCATCTTTGTGTTTGCTTACTTTGTGTGCTTAGCAAGACCACTTGCAGTTTTAACACATTGTGGAGCTGGAGAAACACAGCAGGCCAGGCAGCATCAGA